TCAATCCCCCGTGCTCACATGACAGCTCACAATCATCTGTAATTTCTGTTTCAGGGATCAAATGCTCTCTTCTGAGTTCTTTGGGTACCACGCATACATGCATGCAGGCAAAAGAGTCACATGCGTAAGACAAATTAAAAAAAAAACGAAGAAAATCAATTTAAAGACATTTTTCTCAGAAACTTCTGACAGAGCCAGAGAGACAGCGATACCAATTTCTGCTGAGTCTAGGGAGTGCCGTCCTGCTGAAGAGAAGGCAACTGTGCACCACAGACAGAGGCTTGAGGAGTAGGAGCCAGTACATTCTACCTCGGAACTAAGACTGTTCCTTCTGGTCAGGCTTGCGAGGGTGTTTGTGATGAAGCTGAGTTCATTTACCTTCAGCGACCATGGGAAGGGGCTGGCACCCAGAGGCTCAGTGATCTTAGCTGACTTCCAACCTGATGTTAACCTGTGTGTGTCACACACTGTTTCTGCCTCACCGCTCCCCCACTACACATACACACACACACACACACACACACACACACACACACACATGCAAAGCGTGCTGGAAAGCAAGATTTTGATAGTGATGTTTATATCCGGAGACCATTTAGTCTGATTTGTTTTTAAGTGCTTCATCCTCCTACAGAAAATCTTTATTAGTAACAAACTCTAGACCGAGGTGACCCAGTATATTAGGTATTGATGCTGAGAGTCAGTACAAGCATTTTTATGCCAAAACTCTACCATGGATCTTTCTCTTAACTTTTTCTTTCTTTCGTTCAATTTGTGGTAATTTTTCTAATTGATATAGCCCTAACTATAGAAAAATGAAAAACCTTTTTCGCTACTAAGTAGCGTCAGTTGTGTGCATGGTGTCTGTGTGCATGGTCCATGTACCACCTGTGCCATGTGTGAGCACATGGAGGCCAGGGCAGGACATGAAGTTTCTCAATCATTCTCTGCCATTACCTTGAGACAGAGTATCTCACAGGGCCAGAGCTCTCAGAATCTGTCTCCACTCCTCAGTGCTGTGTAACAGGTATGAATAGATACACCTGTCTTTTTACCTGGATGCTAGGGATTCAGACACGGGTCCTTATGACAGCAGAACAAACCCTCTTAACCCTGGAACTGACTCCCCAGCCTCATCAGCATCAGCTTCAAACACAATCATTTAACTAGAGCCCACTGCCTTTCTGACCACAGAGCCCTATGTGCTCCCACATCACACACACAGGAAGCTGGTCCTACGATAGTTTCTATACTGGACCCCAGAGTGTTGGACTCACCCTGCCCCTTCCTATTGAGTGAAGGTCCCCAAGGCATATTGTCCCTCTGTCTAAAACAAGATGTCATTCTAGTAGACTTGTGTCTCCTCTTTCTCATCCTGCATTCTCTGCACGGCCTTCACTTGCTTAGGCGGGCATGCCCTGCATGTCCCGCCAGACGTGAACCCTGTATCTCTTCTTCAGCGCACATGTGGTACTTACTCCTGTTCGTCATCTAGGGATGTCGCTGTCTGACTGTGCATTTTCCTGGACTGCAAGTAGTAGTGTGTGGACCATAGCTGGGGCTGTGTTCGTCACTGTTTCATGGAGGCCTGGCCCTTAGTTCCCGATAAATATTTACTGCATGGATGGCTGGACTCTCTAGCAAGAAGATGTTTGTGCAACCGGAGCATGCACATCCAGTAAAGAGGCTTGAGAATTAGTGCGATATGAGTTCTAAGTTATGTCCAAAATGGATCAAATTCTCTTTCAGCCTGCACTGGTGAATGCTAAGAGGTTCCTGAGGTGGTCCCATTTGTAGTTGGGTCTTCCTCCAACCCAAGGGCTCCTTGAGAACACCTGATATTTTAAGGTACCCAAGTCCTTTGTGTTTCGAGTGTAGTGCAGTGTCAAGGGCTTATTTGATACGATCACCAGCTTTCTGTCACTTTAACAAAATACCTGAAAAAGAAATGGTTTGCTGTGGTTTATTGTGTCAGAGGCTTTAATGCATGGACTTTTGGCCCTGTTATTCTGGGCCCCAGGTGAGGCTGTGTGGACCCTTAGCCCTATTACCTCAGGTCTGAGGTGAGACCAAGAATCACAATGGGGGCACCTGGTAGAGCAAAGCTGTTCTTATGACAGCCAGGAAGGACAAGAGGAAAAAGGGAAGGCTCCCACTGACCTACATATGCAGTTAGATTCTGGCTTTTAACAGACCAATCAGTGATGAACTCATCAGTGGATCGTCAATCCCTCCACCAGGTGATTGCAACACCTCTGACCACTGCTGCATGGGGAATCAAGCCTGCAATAAATGAGTCTTGGGAAGGTGGGGCCACTTCATACCCAAATTATAACAGTTGGTCCTCCAAAATGCTAGTGTCTCTGAATTACACTGAACTAAGCAAGATGGAAATGCATGACCCAAAAGTTTACTTCTCCTGGGTCTCCTCTGTGTCCTTTCTCTCCCCCTCCCTTTTTGCTTCTTAAGGATTGCTGAGTCTTGTGAACTACTTTGGTTGTGATCAGATGTTCCCAGCAGAAAATTACCCTCATCTATTTTAGGTCTAGGTTGGCTCTTCAGAATGAAATGGTCTGATTAGCCTTATAATCATGATGGTGGTTGGGCACTCCAGAGAATGCTCCACAACCAGTTTGAGTACATTGGTAGCATTGTCACAGAGGTCCTGATATTGGGATAGAGTCACATGGTACACTAGCTAATTCAGAGCAGGAATTAAACTCAAGGATCAGATAAAACCTGTTCTTCTGCCCTAAAGGCTGCAAAGTTACCGTTGTCGGAATGGGCCATGCTGAGGTGCCCAGTGAACCTTGGACATCAACCGTTAATAGAAGCTTATGTTCCTGTTAGAACCTGCCCCACAACCCATTTTACCCATTACTGTATATCTATATTTGAGAAATAACCAGGAAGGGAGGTAGTGAAAGTGGAATGTTCATAATGAAATTGAAGATCAAAGAAATAATAAGAAAAGCAGAAGCCCACGGGTAAGATTGGTATTGATTGAACATCTTAGAAAACATTGTTAGAAAGAGATCAGGGCATGCTGCCTCTATGGAAAATGCAGGCCTCAGCTAAACCACATTTGGATTAGAATACGAATCATTCCCAGAGGCATCCCTGGGGGCTCTTTAGACATCTTAGTATTCTTTGGAGATAGACTGGTATAGTAGAACATATGTGGGTTTACAAGTCAGCCATACCTACGCTTAATGCCCAAGTTTACCTTAGTGACATTGAGCAAGTAACCTCATTATCTTCCTCTTCTCTCTCCTCCTCTCCCTCATCCTCTTCTCCCCCTCTTCTTCTCCCTCCTCCTTCTCTTCTCCCTCCTCCATCTTTTCTCCTTCCTTCTCTTCTCCCTCCTCCTACTTCTTTTTGTAATTCATATAAGTTAGAGTCATGAAGGCCTCTAATCTCACATTTAGAGGCTAGGGTAGGAGGACTGTGAGTCCCAGATCATCCTGGACTAAATAGTAGGACCCAGGCTCAACAACAGAAGGGCAATCATGATTTGTATAAACTTGTATAGAACAGTTGCCTTGCCAGATTGTTATGAAGGTCAAATAAGATTGTTTAGACACAAAGATCATTGCCCAAAGCAGGCGTGAAATCAATTACATTATTCCTTTGCCTCAAAATGTCAACCCCTATCAACAGCTGGACAGGGTCTGGGCTAGAGCGAGACAAGCCAGTGCCTCAGTCACCCTGAGAGCAAATTCTCCTAGGCACATCCCAGGTAGTTCACATGCCTCTCCCTGGTCCAGACGTATACCTGAAGCAATATCAGATTAAGGGTGAGGCATCGCAGAATAGATGTCCTTCTCTATGACGTCATCCCCTGAACCACCTTACTGATGACACACCTGAAACCCAGAGAAGCACTGTCACTTGCCTTAAACCTGTCATTCGTACATAGCACACTTGAAGTTTGGACCCAGATATATTGGTTCCATACTTTAGTAGCCTCCAGTTGGGCTTCCATACCCGTCTCAAGTGCTAGCATACCCCTATGTGCCGTAAGTGGCCTCTGGAGAGCTGGGCACGGTCCCCTGACATCTACAAGTGCTCTCAATACCATAAAAGAACATGTCTCAAATTTTCAGCACATCTCAAAACATTTACTATAAGGCCTGCTTTATAGTCAGAGTTCATGAAATAAATATTCACAAACAGAGGGGGGGAAAAGGAGATTCTTGTGATCTTATAATTTTAATGCCGAGAAACAGTTATAATAAACATTAACCCAGCTGAAGGGGCAAAATGCATTAATTTCACAACATGTCTGTTCTTTAAGAAGTTAGTTGTTCAAGCTCCATGGGGAATCTTGGACTCACAGAGACTCACCCCCACTGTTTCAAAAGAGAAAATTGCCAACCCCCACTGTGAGAGGGGGTAGAGAGACATAATGGAGGCTGGAGGAGGGAAGAGGGGGATTCAGCTGCAGCAATATGCTGTGTGTAAACCGGAGTGAAGGACCCAGAAAAGCAATGCTTATGCTTAAGATGAATGAAGGCTCTGGCACAGGTCTGGCAGGACCTGGGACCCTGTTCCTAAGCATCTTCTCGTCACCAGTGCTGCCAGCCCACGGAACATACTTTCAAGCATTGAAGGTGTCGTCACAAGAGAATAGACTGGGCAAATCTCTGGCCTTCGATTCTTTATATCAACGTTCCTTTGTCTTTCAACTGTTAGCAAGTTGCTTAACCCTGTACTGGGCACAGAGCAAGGGAAAATCTTCCAGGGAGGCTAAGAAACTGGGGAAAATCACTCCTCATACAAAGACGACACAGGCACCTGCTGGTGACATCCTCATGCATGTAACACTTCCATTTTTTTTTTTCCTTAATGAAATGAACATGTAGGGCTGCTCTCTAGACATCGAGTTGAGAGGATTCTGAGTATATGGAGTATAGGTAGAAGTTTTGGGTTCGTGAATCTGGCCCAGTCTTCAGCCTGGAGATTACCGACACTCATCCTCACTATACTCTCTTCTGCAGGGGAAATCTGTGCATTCAAGATCCACGGGCAGGAGCTGCCCTTTGAGGCTGTGGTGCTCAATAAGACATCTGGAGAAGGCCGGCTCCGTGCCAAGAGTCCCATCGACTGCGAGCTACAGAAGGAGTACACATTCATCATCCAGGCCTATGACTGTGGGGTGGGGCCCCGGGAGGCAGCCTGGAAGAAGTCACACAAGTGAGCTCCATTTCCCCATTCTCCCCTGGGCTACCCACCTCCATTTATTCTACTTATAAACTGTTCTTTAAATACATCCATCTAGGGGTCACACCAAAGGTAGGACTAGAAGGTGGTCTAAAACTCCCAATTCCATTAGCATCACTTTGACTAGGAGCCGGTGATTGGTGGTGGAGGAGGGGGCTGGTGTTGTAACCGGTCATATGAGAAAAAGACCCAGATGTGGCCGAGGTGATGCTGAGTGCCCCCACAACATCTGCACAGCTGGTTTCTGTCCTGGGAATATTGTACCTGCTTTTCTTCTCTGGAGGAGACTCCGAGGCCACATCCAAGACCAAGTGAGAGCACCGATCCTCTGGGAAACATCTCTAAGCCCAGCTCTCGGCTCACAGCCAGCCTAAAGCTCCACATTTCTCTTGTCACATGTGCATCACCATGAGTCAACTCTGCTCTCTCCATGTAGAGTTTGGCTCAGAGCATAGCAGAAGGGAAGAGCTGTTTGACTCCTTACTGAGTGGAGGGCTGAATGAATAGACGAAGGGAATGGGGAAAAGGGAGAAGATGGCGAGGGAATATGTAGGCAATAGGGAAAGATAACGCATGCGAAGGATTCTCTAGGGCAGAGCTGCTCAGCATCAAGGCAAGAGCAAGTAGATGGTTGGTTCCCAGAGGGAGGAAAGACAACAGCGCCCATGCACCCACCGCCCTGACTGAGAGTCTTGAGGCCTCTGCAGTCACATGACCTTGGGTTGGATCAATGTCCCACAAAACATGGTGTGATTCCTTCTTTACCATCATTTCTTTTTTCTGATTTGTGCTCTAGGGCTGTGGTCCACATCCAGGTGAAGGATGTCAATGAGTTTGCTCCCACTTTCAAAGAGCCAGCTTATAAGGCCATCGTCACAGAGGGCAAGATCTATGACAGCATCCTGCAGGTGGAAGCCATTGATGAGGACTGCTCCCCCCAGTACAGCCAGATTTGCAACTATGAAATTGTCACAACAGATGTGCCTTTTGCCATTGACAGAAATGGTGAGTGTCCTGGGGAAGATTCCAGTATAGTAGGAAAACAAATTCACTGCCTCCGCTCTCGAGGCCAAGAGAGGCCCCACAGATTCTTGACAGTGGTACCTCCCTTGAAACCTTTTTATCTAGGCATCATGACCCAATTATGTTCTTGATGATGGCTCAATTATGATTAGAACCTTGCTAAGTCTAAACTACTTCCAGGAAATCCCAGGACCTTAGTGAATATGTCTGGAGAACTCATAATCATATACATTTGTATACAAAACAAAAATAGTTTCTGGAAGAGTTATTTAATTATTACCCAGGTGTGAGCCTCATCATCACCTTGGCCACATCTGAGCCCCTTTCAACATTATCAGTTATAACATGAGCCCCAACTCCCCCACTCACCACAGCAACAACCTGCTTTCTGCATCCAGGCAAAGCGATACGAACAGATTTGGGAATTTTAAACCACCATTCAGCCATAACTTTGCTAAGGAGTCTTTAAAATTCTCCCCTTTGAGAATTTCAACCATAGCAGAGCCTTCCTCCCAGTTTGAATTGAACTGAAAATGGTTCCATAAAACCATTTGGATATTTCCCATCACCATTAATCTGAATCTTATTATAGCGTACACACAGCCAGAGGTCCAATCAACTCAATCCACTTGGACTATAACTTGATTGTAATGAAATGGTACTATTTCTCAAGTGCATCACTCAGATGTAGTGTGAATTGCATGGGTATCTACATATTATCCCCACCTTCTTTCAGATATCATTTAAGTAGCACAGAAGGATGCAAAAGTTACAAGACCCGCATTATTCTGTAACCAAGTGATAGGTTACATGATGGACTCAGGATGGAGCTAGAACAGAATCCAATATAGACAGGTCTGCCCTCATGGAGCTCATCAAGCAACGAGGGAGGGAAAGCTAAAGAGAATCAAGGGGGCATGAAGAGTGGAATTATGGATAAAGCATGCTGGGACCTGAAACTGTAAATTAGACTTGAGAATCTCACTCGTCAACATCTACAGGGGGAAACAAATTAGCCATGTGCTCCTGTGTCTTCTGGAATGCTTCACGGTATTGAGACCTGAAAGCAGCCTGTAGTATAATCTGCATCCCAAGAACAATACCAGAGTCCATAGAGCAAGGGAACACCCTCATCCCCACTTTCAAGTAACTTACCAGATGACCTACTGTAGTGACAGAAGGCTAAAAGACATGGGACTAGGAGTTCCACATCTGAACATCATTAAATGCACATTGTGCAAGGCAGGAAAATGGTGCATAGGAAAAAGAAGATAGGAATACTAGAGTGAAGATAAGTTCTGTTTGTAGTAACTTCCAGAACCACTCCCTCCAGCAAGCTAAGCCTTGTAAAAGGCTGGCCTATACCCATAACACACACACAGACACACACACGTGCACGCATGAGCAAACACACACACACACACACACACACACACACACACACACACATACACACACACTGTACAATACAGAAGCAATGTGGTTTTCTCCTCTTCTTTAGGCTCCCCCAGCATCATGTGTGCAGTCTGTTCCACAAAAGCTTTGAAATGTGGGGCATGACAAACATGGTAAATAGCAAGACAGCCGAGTGGTGACATCTGTGATTAGTGGTCAAGCTCCGCTTGGCCTCCTGGTCCTGGCTCTCAAGAGCTCCCAAGGAAGGATGAGATGCCATTCTTTCATCTGAGGGTGAACTGCCCCAGTCATGAAGATAATTACTCACCTTGATGAGCCATTTTGCTAACATATGCCAATTTATTTCCCTGGCTGTCTCATTAAAAGTGAGTAATGGGTCTTTGCCAGGTCTCGGCCTCCAATTTTGGTTTACAATGTAAGACGGTGAGAAGAGTTGGCACTCCTAGGAAGCGTGGGCTCCCAACTGAGAAGTTTACAAAAGCAGCTCTCAAGTAATGAAGACAGGACCTAGGCAGATTCCATTCTCACGAGCTTCTTCAGTGGACTCTTCACCATCACGTTGGTGGCGACCTTCTCAGCTTCTTGAAGTTCTTTGCATATGAGCATGTCAGGGAAAGTGCTGCTGAATCTCAGGTGCCTTCCTTGGCCACAAGATTCTCCAGATTCTTTATCCCACAGTTAAAGTAGATGTTCCTGGTTCTTCAACTTGTCGGGCTCTTTGCCTATGCGTGGGGTGGAGGGCACTGAGATACAGCGGCCGGAAGGGTGAAAGACACCAGGTGGAGTCTGAATGATCTCCTGTACCTATGCACCCAACCTCTTTCACCTGTAACCCTTTGACCTCCTTGGCAGTATCAGTTTCAAACTCATTGTGGAGTTCTGCAGCCGTGGGTGGGGTGCTGAGAGTCCTCACCACGTAAGCAGTGCTGAGTCCTGCTGCTGTCCACGATCAATAGATATTTGTTCCTGTGACTGCGGTTTAGTCACCCTCCCCCCATGAAATCTGGACTGAGATGGTGATCATACAACTATTAAGTTTTTGCCACCATCTTGGAAAGTTCTAGATCTATATCCAGTGGCATACAGGCTCCATCTGCAAGCTCTAGTCCAGCCTCTCTGGGATAAGAAGAACCTGGATCCCTCGTTTCATTAGACAAGTGGAGAAATTGAGCCCTAAGGCAGGAAGACTTTCCTAATACATTGTCATACTGTTGGCACTTGGGGCTTCCCCACTACAAACCTCTTCCTCAATGATAATAGAAAGGAACAGATGGCGTAGGAGTTTAGGTTCATAAATGCAGGGTGGGGTAAGATCAGCAAGGAGGCAAGGAAGGGAGACCCAGGTTTCTTCCCCCCTCCCAAACAGAGAACAAGTTCACAGGCATGCACAAATGAACGAAGCTAGTTTAGGACAACTTGGGACTGAATTAAGAAATTACAAGACAATAAAAGAAATATTGAGAATAACTTCTCAAAAATTGGGTAATAACATCAGTGTCATTTTACCGACATTATTCTGTCCCCAAGCCTGGCAATGGCCAGCACAGGGGGGACTGAACACTGCAAGAGTCATCCCTATCACCCACATGTAATTTCAGTTCCCGGGGAGCTGATGCCCTCTTCTGGCCTCTATAGGCAACAAGCATGCATGTGATACATGCAGGCAAAACATACACTGAGATAAAAGAAAACAAAATAATTTAAAGTCTTTAAAAAAACCTTGCAGTCTAGGAGAAAATAAAGTGATATATTGAAAGTGATAAAAAAAAAACCAACAATAACAAAAGCCCTGCCAACAAAGAATGCTTTATCAGGCAAACCCATCCTCCAAAAACATGAAAGATGACATTCCAAGATGAGCAAGAATAAAGACAGCTCATTACTGCTAGATTCATCTTACAAGAAATGATAAGTCACTCCTTGAGATGAAGCAAGACTAGACCATTTAATAATATCAAAACATGAAAGTTTTTGGTACCAGTAAGTACATATCAAATTTACAATATTCTGATAGTAGGTAAATTGTTTGCAAGTATATTTTAAAGATAAAAATATTAAGAATGAGTGCAGCTAAAATAATAAACCAATAAACACAAAAGTAGATAAACTGTGACATCCAAAACAAACACTTGAGAGAGGTGGCACAGAACTTTTACTGGTGTTAAGTTACTGTCAGTTTTAAAAAGATCAGTATAACTATAAGACATTTCATGCAAGCCTCACTGTAACCATAAAGCAAATCTTTGTCAGTGCCACAAAAGGGAAAGCAATATAAGTATATTACTATAGAAAAGTATCAAGTCACAAAGAAAACAAAGGAGGAGATGAACAGAATCAAGATCTAGAGCCAGAAAACAACTGGAAAGTCATTTAAAATAGCAACATTAAGCCCTGATATACCAATAATTACTTTAAATATAAATGGACTAAATTATCAATCAAAATTCACAGAGTGCTTAAATGATTAAAACATAGTCTTTGAGTGAAAGACTGTATCAAGAAACAAGGGGGGCAATATCTAATTATAAAGTCAATTTATCAATAGACTAAAACAATTGTAAAAAACACATGCATACAGCATCAAAGCATCTAAATATATGAAGCAAATGCTCACAGAGCTACAAGAAAAAGTAGACAATAATACAATAGTAGTGGGAGTCTTTAGTACCCACTTTTAGAAATGGACATATCGTCTGGACAGAAAATCAATAGGAGAGCATTGCACTTAAATTATACTTTAAAGCCCAAAATACACAATTTCTTAAAAGCAGCAGTAAACAAAGCACAGAAGAGATATATTCAGGATCGATAACTTTGGAGTCCAATTTAAAAATAAAATCATACCAATCATATTTTCTAACCACAACTGTATGAAACTAAAGAATAATAAGAGGAGGAAAGCAAAAGATGAAAATTCACAAATAGGTGGAAATCATGTAACATTCACGGGACGAACCAGTGGATGGAGGAAGTTACCAAAAGGGAAGTCAAAGAGCATCTGGAGCTAGATGAGAGTGGAAGTGTAACATACCCAAACTTAAGCTGCTGAAAAGCAGTTCTAGGAAGGTGATTTATGGTGATAAGAATCAAGTTTGAAAAAGACCAAAAATTTAAATAACTTGATATTATATCTCATGGAAATATAAAACAAAGAAAGTCCAAAATTAGCAGAAGGGTCGACTAACCATGATCAGAACAGAAATAAATGGAAAAAAAACTAGACAAACAGTAGAGAATAAGTCAGTAAAGGATATTTTGCAAAGATAAAACTGACAAACATTTAGCTATACCAGAGAGATGAAAAAGTAAATGAGAAAATAAATACCGCAGAAATACAAAGAAAGTAAAATATTGCTAAAAATGATTACACACCAACCAATTGAATAACCTAGAAGAAATAGATTCATTCTTAGGAGCATATAGTCTACCAAGGCTGGGTAAGTAAAATGTGTGACAAGATTATAAGTAATTTAAAAATGTGGTCTTTTACCCACAATAAGTCTAGAACTTTGGAGTTTCACAGCCATCTAACAACTAGAGCCAATCATTCTCAAACTCTCCTTACA